TTTTTTTTTTTTTTTTTTTGAAACGTTGAATATTAGGAAGTTGAAAGTGAAAGATCGTAACATTTCGTCTAATGTTCAAAATTCAATTGAATAAAAAGAAAGAAGATCGTAGAGCGAGTCTCAAAGGGTCGTTGTAAATGTAAATGTAAAATCGATCTTTGAAATAATTTGTAGTAAATCTAGTTGCAAAAAAACAATTTTTTAGTGCTTTCACGCACATTTGAATTTTGACGATTTTCCAGATAAACGTACTCTTACTTTCCCACAGGTACGATGTAAAATTATCTTAGAAAAAAAAGAGACAAGCTCACGACTGTAGAAGCTTCACACTTTAAAATGAGACCAAGTGGATTGTCACGCGATTCTTTTTTCATTGGTACAGTTATACTCTTCACTGTGTATGATCGACGTTTCATTAATCCAATGGTTTTGATCTTTGCCAAGAATATAATACGATGTCTTCCGGAAAAACTTGGGAAATGAAACTCTGTTAAAATTTGCGTCATAATTATGAGTTTTGGATTATAACTACGTTAATGAACGAACGAATATCGACGTGCACGGTGCAAGTAATTTCATTTAAAAATTTGTATTATTAATTATCTATTAACCGGTGTTAATTACATTTACATGTTACACCTGTGTGTTGATAACTCCATCGTCATTCAATATTTAACGACGATATTCCGTATAATCACTGTCAATTATTAATTTATTTCGAAATGTCTGGAAATAACCTTGCAATAAAATATAAAGTTTCAGTAGATTGATACGTTCATACATCGCGACGCGTGATGCAATTATTGATAATTAGATTCACGAATATTATTTATATCGTTATTTCTTTGTAAATAAAAATTACTAAAAATAAATTTATTATTTAGACGAATATAGTTTCTTACCGGGAAACCTTGATTTTCCAAACTGTCCGTATCAAAGCTTTGTTAACGATTAAAAAGATCGACGAATGCTTGCGCAATGCACTGCACACGCTCGACGAACGAAAGTGGCGTGTAATCGTCGTTCAACGACAATCGCGTATCGCACGAAAGTGGGCCAACGTCGTTTCCTTAAAACTCACGTCCGTGTGCCTGTGTCCACGTATGGCATCTGGCACCATAATTCCACACGCGTGCCCTCCGCTCGCCAATTACGTCGCGTTACCAGCGCGATTACGAGGACAACCGGACGATTGAATCGTTTTTGCACTGGCCCGCAAAATGGCTCCAGTCACCTGGCGTCTTGCTACAAGCCTTTTTTACTTGTGATAATTGAATCGAGGATAGCTGCCATTTATTTCGTCGTGCGACAACGGTTAACCAGCTTCTTCTCACTTTCGCGAATTTGGAGATTCAACTCTTTTAACTCGGGGCGACCCGAGCGAGAAATCATTAAGCCAATTTGAGAAGGTTTGAGGGGGAAAAGGATGGAAATTCTCTGTGAAGAATGACGACGAAAGGAACGTGTCGTGAAATAAATTAATTTAAGTAGAAAGTTGGTTCCTCGGTTCCTTAGATACAGCAATGTTAGAGTAAATTCGAGAAATTTCGAAATGTGCAAATATTTTCACTGACGGAAGACTGTGGATATTTATGCATATAAAACATCCGGTGGTTTCGAGAAGATCGAGTTTTTGATCAAATACACTTGGATTTGGCTAATTCTAACCTAGGCAGGAATTAACGACTTATTCTACTGGCGACAAGTAGGTGAAAATTTTTTCGCATCTTTGAACGTGTTTAACTGAGAATTAGTAGATATGTATTATTCATTTCCAGTCCAGAGTTACCTAAATTTAATTACACTTGAATATAAATGTTCCAACTCGATTCTTCCCAAAAGGAGCCTTGGACAAGCAAATTTTCCTTCTTCCTTTTCGATTTATATATATATATATATATTTTTTTTTTAACGTAAAATGGTCTGATCTCAATACCCACAAAGTCCTGATGACACTACAAAATTATGACATTTCCACAATGATCAAAAACTTACTGAAATGCCTGCTAATATTTACGGATACTGACGTAGAGATATTATTCTCAATTTCTTAACTTTAGAATCTCAGAACAGACCACGTTCCATATGCTCGCATTCCACCTGTCAGAACGAGGAGACAGGTTTGCTTTAAAAGCTGAGACTCGCTGTTCCATTATTCGAAAGAGGAACATTCGTCGACATTCCTCGAGCCGTATGAATTCGTCGGCGTGCTCGATAGGCCGACAAGTAATTGCGTGTGTACACTGAAATCGGCCGTGCCGGCTGGGGTTGAAGCTTCTTGCATCTTGATAGACGAGCGCATCGATCGTAGGGAAGCGGAGAAGCCGGTGAGCATCGACCAACCACCAACCTAAATCCGGCTGACTGCGCCCGAGCACGCGAACCTTTCAACCTTCCTCTTTCGGACGCGACCGCTTTCCCCTAGCACTGCAGACTACTGCGTGCATTATCTAAACACCGCTCGTAACGTCGCCCTGTCGAAACTGATTCCCCGTCTTTTGCCAACAGTGGAGATATTGACCACTCTCAACGCGTGAATTTTCCCTTAGAAATCCGTGTCGGTGAATGACTAAATTTTTCGAGAATATGTTTCTTAAAAAGATGTAAAAATTTCGCCGTCAGTTGAGATATTGACTACTTTTAATGCGTGAATTTTCCCTTAGAAATCTGTGTCGATGGGAGCTACTAAATTTTTTCGAGACTATGTTTCTTAGAAAAATGTAAAAATTTCGCCGCCAGTTGAGATATTGACTACTCTTAATGTGTCAATTTTCCCTTAGAAATCCATGTCGATGGGAGCTACTAAATTTTTTCGAGAATATGTTTCTTAGAAAAATGTAAAAATTTCGCCGAAAGTGGAGATATTGACCACCCTCAACGCGTGAATTTTCCCTTAGAAATCCGTGTCGGTGAGAGCGACTAAATTTTTTCGAGAATATGTTCTTTAGAAAAATGTAAAAGAAACACGCAAACTTGTGAGATGTCATGATTCTTCAACAACAGGATTTGTAAAATACATAAACATATGATATTTGAAAAAAATCTTTAATTGATATTTTCATTGCTAATTAACTCTTAAACGGTTAAATCGAAGAGTTACGAGTAATTTATGTTGGATTATGAAAATTTTCAGTATTTAATCAGGAATATACATATTTTTTTTTTAGATAAACGATATAAAATATGTATGCTCGTAATATGTCACGGTTCTTCAACAACAAGATTTATGAAACACGTAAACGATATTTGGAAAGTCTTTAATTGATATTTTTGTTAACTTATTAACTCTTAAACAGCATCGGATAGTTATAAATAAACGCGGCAACTTATGCTACGAATGATTATGAAAATTTTTAGCATTTAATTTTTGATCTTCTATTTCACATTCTGCCTCGTGGACATGACGAAGTTAAGTCAAATTTTAAATTCCAAAATTGAGTACATAATACGGAAGCCTAAATTATTTAATTATTTATTTTGTTTGTTAAAATATATACACGTACAGAACAATATTTGTCAGAAATATTGTTACGTAA